TGCTTACACGAAACATTTTTATTTCCCATTAACCACCAGAGCTCAGCTTGCAGCCACGGCTGCCCACTTCCAGACCTCAGGCCCTGGAGCTGCAGCTTCGTTTATTGCCTTGCATTTCGGTTCTAAGTTTGGTCCAGGGAGATAATTGCCTCTTTTTTTATTTCTGACTTGGCAAAGCTATTTTTGGTTTTTGTGTTTATATTTTACCTGTCATTACTATGAGTTTAGAGTAGAAGGGAGTGCTTCAGCATTGGAGCTTCCAGCATCTTGACTGAAAGTCTGCAGTTTGCTTTTTGGTACATAGGTAAGAATCTAAGTCTTTGGAGGCAAAGAAAAACCATGAAGTTAGTGATGGAATTTTCCTGAGGGCTTCTTAGTATGTGTGTGTCTTTTACACAGTCTCAGCTGTCCGAGGAGCAGAGGATCTATATCTTCTTTTATCACAGAGCCTTCTATGAACAGAGATTGAGTAGGATCATTCTGAAAATGTGTCCATTCTGGAAACAGTTTAATAAATGGTTCTGTGGTGGGGAGAAGCCTTATTAAACTTCTCGTTCCCTGACGCTGCAATTCTAAGCCTGTTTCCTCTCATTTTCTTCTGTCAATATAAAACAATGCTAATTATTTTCTTTGGTAATTATTTCAGCTTCTTTTCAGAAAAGCTCTTTTTCTGCAACACAGAATTGCCTTCCCTTGATTTCCTCTGAGACCCTCCACAGCACCTGTGAGTTACGCAGCCCTGAAGTGGCCCAGCTTCTGCAAAGAAGTGACTTGTGCTGGTGCTGTGTGGGAGCCGCCTCAGTTCATGTATGTGCTGTATGTCACCCAGGCTGTGCCTCTTAAACCATGAAAACGGGGGCCGGGGGCAGGTTTGAGTTGTGCTGTACGTCACCCAGGCCGTGCCTCTTAAACCATGAAAACGGGGGGTGGGGGAGGTTTGAGTTGTGCTGTACGTCACCCAGGCTGTGCCTCTTAAACTGTGAAAATGGGGGGCGGGGGAGGCAGGTTTGAGTGAAAGGAAGAAGCAATGATTGAAGAAGACAAAATGAAGGAATGTTAGAGTTAAAACTATAGTCAAAGGAAATGAAAGTTCTCAGCCCAAGAAAAAGGTTTTATGGTAACTGAGTCTATTTGAAATGTGAGCAATTACTTAAAGGTCATTAGTAAACCAAGATTTTGTTTTGCTAAATTGATGGTAAGTAGAACTGTCTCACGGTAGGATGATGAGGATGATGAGCCCAGCCAGCTCTGCATGCTTCCCAATTTTAAGTTTTGACAATCTGAGCAGAATGTTTCTTGTTTGTAAAGTTTTCATCATAACCAAACTATACTGCCTTTAGGAAGATTTGGCAGAGAATTGAAGGAGTGGGGAGAGAGAGAAAGTGCGTGCGTGTGTGCGTATGTGCGTGTGTGTGTGTGTGTGTGTGTGTGTGTTTTCATTTCCATTTTTAAGTTGTCAAAACCTAACATTATGTTACCTGTGCCTGTCTTCTCCAGACAACCAGAAAAATGTGTTTCCCCAAGAGTGAATGAGACTCTGTTAAATTCATGTCTAAGTGAGGAAAGGAGTTTACTGACTTCATAACCCCATAATCGCATCTGCAGTGCTGCTGTGACATACTGGGAGAGGCTTCTGGGCATGCTGCAGTGGGCTGTAAAGTTGGCTGAGAAATAAACAGTGTAGCTATTGTGTTTGCTTGGACTTGGTTGCTCACCACATCACAGGGTGTGTGGCGCTTCATCACTGCCTTCTCCCCGGAGGACAGGCAGCTGTGCTCACAGGCTCCTTCGTGTGGCTCTGTTGTGTCCAGAAGTCCACCTCAGGGGGGAAAGATGGTCTCTCCACAATTTGTGGTGACGTGAATTCATCTCACGTTTCTAGTTCTTGCGCAGACATTCTTCTATACTGTCTTTTGGCTTCATAGCGCTCCAGCTCAGAGGATAGATTCAGTGATGACAGCTAATGTGACACAGAGCATGTATTCTTGTGTACCAAGTACTGTCCCCAGCCCAACACATGGCACACAGATACACAGTAGTGTTCAGGAAGTGTTGTAGAATAGGGTGATTCTTCTTCAGACAACAGTGCGAATTAGAATATCTGCGAAAGCTTTGGGGGCACTTACTGTGTGCTGGGTGCTCTGCAGAGTTCTCTGCATGTCTCATCTCACTGATCTCTACAACCATATCAAAGTTAGGGTTACTCTTACTGCCATTTTGTGGATGAGGCAGCTGGAGCTTTCAAGAATATAGCCCTAACCTCTCTACTATGCTGTTTCTATAATGATATGAGTAACAGATACTTCCTTATCATTTTAAAGAATTGGAGTATAATTTGCATTCAGTAAAATTCGCCCTTTTTTAGTCTACAGTTCTACAAACTTGGATAAATGGATACAGCCTGTGACCACCCCCACCATCAAGACAGAGAACAGCTCTATCACCACCACTCCCAAATTCCTTCATACTGCCGTGTGTCGATCCCCATCCCCCACTCCCAGCACCTGCTAACCCCGATCTTCTTTCTGTCACTACTATTTTACTTTTCCCAAAATGTCATAAATTCACCAACCAATTCATTTTGGCTTCTTTTGCTTAGTATTTCATATTCAGCCATGTTCTTTTTATACACATTTATAATATATAATCTCACTAGTTCATTATTACTGCCAAGTACTCTTCCATTGTGTGGCTGTTTCATGCTTTGTTTTTCTAAATGAAGGATATTTGGGTGGTTTTCCAGTGTTGGTGGTTGTCAACCGGGTCACTGTGAACATTCACATACAGGTTATTGTGTAAATACAAATTTTTATTTTATGTGGACAAATACCTAGGAGTGGGATTGCTGGGCTGTATGGTAAATATATGTTTAACTTCTTAAGAAACTGCTGCACTTTTTTTTTCAAAGTAGCCTCTACTATTTTGAATTCCCACCAACAATGAATGAGAGTTCCAGTTACCAAATCCTCACCAGCACTTGTTTTAGTCAGATTTTGTTTTTGTTTTTAATCATTCTAATGAATTTAATGTAGTGATGTTGCATTGTAGTTTTAATTTGCAGTACTGTAATGTATTTTTTCATGTGTTTGTGTGCCATATGTATATCTTATTTCTTGATATATCTGTTCAAATCTTTTGTCTATTTTAAAAATTGGGTGTTTTCTTATTATTGAATTCTGAGGTTTCTTTATCCTGTACAGAGGTCATTTATTGAACATGTATTTACATATTTTTTTTCTTAGTTTGCAGCTGGTCTTTTCATTCTCTTCACAGAATGAAATGCAGAAGTTTTGATGAGCAGAAGTTTTAAATGTTGAAATAGTTTCAGTATTTTTCTCTCATGGATCAGTCTTTTGAAGCCATAGCTAAAAATATTTGCCTAATTCAAGAGGAGAGAGATATTTTTTCTATGTTTCATAGTAGATTTTATAGTTTTATGTTTTATGTTTAGGTATTTGATAGATTTTGAGTTAATGTATGTATATGCATAATGTTCTTTTTTGTATATGGATAGCCAATGATTCCGGCTCCCTTTGTTGAGTCAGTATCTTATGTATTATAGAAAGAGTACAGAATTAGATTTAGCAGAAGCTGGGTTCTAATTCTAGAGCATCAGCAACTGGCCAGAGAGATAAAATCCAAGTGGTGGGTAAGAGGACAGCTTGATACAGGGGAAAGAGCATGTGCTTTGCAGATAGATGGTTCTGGTTTCTGCTGTTTACTAAGCATTTGAAATTAGCAAGTTTCTTTCCCTATGTTGGTCTCAATTTTCTCTTTTGTAAAATGAGAATACTCTAAACCTGCAAGGTATTTTAAGGGTTCAATTAGATAACTAGATAATATAGGTGTGGCTTGGAAGATGCTAGATGCTTGATAATGGTAGCCATTATTATTATTGAATGACGTGGGGAAATAATCAAATTGGGAAGCTCCAAGAAATACAGCATCCTCAGTTCCCATCATTTGCTGATCAGAGTCTCTGAATTAGTCACATAATCTAAACAGCTTTTTAACTCTTCCTGTTGGAATTTTTAGTAGTCTCTGCTTCCTTCCCCCCTTTCTGTGCCTAGTACCTCTTGATTGGTTTGGTTTTAGTGGTCACTGTGCTGGGGTGGTTGGTGTTTTTCTTTTATCTCTCTTTTTTTTTTTTTATTTGGGACAGGGTGTCATGCTTTCACCCAGGCTGAAGTGCAGGGGTGTGATCATCCTAGTCCTGGTAGCAATCCTCCTATTCCTAGGCTCAAGCAATCCTCACATCTCAGCCTCCCGAGTAGCTGGGACTACAAGCATGTGCCACCATACCTTGTTAATTTTTTAAATTTTTTGTAGAGAGAGAGTGTCTCACTATGTTTCCTGGGCTAGTCTCCAGCTTCTGGGATCAAGCAGTCCTCCTGCCTCAGCCTCCTGAAATGTTGGGATTACAGGTGTGAGCCACCATGCTCAGCCGTGTTTTTCATTCTTGTATTCTCCTTGGCTTGTTCTCCTGCACTTCCTAACCTGGGCTCTTCTCCCTGAGAAGTAAGCTGACCTTTGTGCAGTCTTTGGGAGCATGTCACTAATCATCCTTCATCACTAATCATGCTGGCCTGTTCACCCCGATAGTTCCTGACATGGCTGTCACTGAGGGGTGTAGATAGTAGAAGGGAGGGAAGCTCAGCTGAGTAAGAAGACAGCTTGCGTGGCACTGCACAGAGGGACATCCAGGCCATTGCTCCCCTCCCCCCAGATTCCTGGACAAAGTAGATGTCATCCCGGGCGCTCTCTGCACTTTGTTTCCCAAGAGACCAATACCTCTTTCATAAACATTATTTTTGTATTTTGAAATTTCAGATGTTTATGGGTACATAGGAGGTGTGTAGTATATATTTATGGGTACATGAGATAAATATTTGATACTGGCATATACAGTGTGTAATCATAGCGGGGTAAATGGGGTATCCATTACCTCACGCATTTGTCATTTCTTTTGTGTTACAGATATTCCAATTATATTTCTTCAGTTATTTTTAAATGTACAATAAATTATTGTAGACTGTGGTCACCCTGTTGTAATAAATAGTAGATGTTACTCATTCTGTTTAACTATATTTTTGCACCCATTAACCATCCCCACGTCTCTCCCTTCCCCAATGCCTTCCCAGCCTCTGGGTAACCATCATTCTACTCTCTATCTCCATGAGTTTAATTGTTTTAATTTTTAGCTCCTATGAATGCATGACAACATGCAAAGTTTATCTTTCTGTATCCAGCCAGTTTAACATAATGTCCTCCTGTTCTATCCATGCTGTTGCATGTGATAGGATCTCATTCTTTTTTATGGCTGGTTAGTACTCCATTGTGTATATGTACCACATTTTCTTTATCCATCTATCAAGAGACATTTAAGTTGCTTCCACATCTTCCCTATTGTGAATAGTGGTGCAGTAAACATGGGAGTGTGGAGATGTCTTTGATACACTGATTTCCTTTCATCTGTGTGTGTTCACACCAGTGAGATTACTGGATCATATGGTAGTTCCACTTTAGTTTTCCGAGGACCCTTCATACTGTTTTCCATAGTCGCTGTACTAATTTACCACCAATGGTGTACGAGGGTTCCCTTTTCTTCACAACTTTGTCAGTGTATGTTATTGCCTATCTTTTGGATCAAAGCCATTTTAATTGGGTGAGATGATTTCTCATTGTAGCTTTGATTTTCATTTATCTGATGATGAGGGATGTTCTTATACCTGTTTGTCATTTGTATGTCTTCTTTTGAGAAATGTCTCTTCAGATCTTTTGCCCGTGTTTTAATCAGATTGTTAGATTTTTTTCCTGTTGGGTTGTTTGTGGTCCTTATATATATATGTCCTAGTTATTAATTCCTTGTCAGATGGGTAGTTTATAGGTATTTTCACCAGTTCTGTGGGTTGTCTCTTTACTTTGTTAATTGTTTTCTTTGCTGTGCAGAAGCTTTTAACTGGATGTGATCCTATTTGTTCATTTTTGTCTTGGTTGCCTATGCTTTTGGGTTGTTACTCAAGAAATGTTTGCCCACACCAATGTCTTGGAGAGTTTCCCCCCTGTTTTCTTTGACCAGTTTCATAGTTTGAGGTCTTAAATTTAAGTCTTTAATGTATCTTGATTGATCGTCGTATATAGTGAGAGATAGAGATCTAATTTCATTCTTCTGCACATCCAGTTTTCCTGGCGCCATTTACTGAAGACTGTCCTTTCCCCAGTGTATGTTCTCGGCACCTTTGTCAAAAAGGAGTTCGCTGCAGATGTATGGATTTCATTCTGGGTTCTCTATTTTTTCCGTTGTTCTGTGTATCTGTTTTTATGCCAGTACCATGCTGTTTCGGTTACTTTAGCTCCGTAGTATAATTTGAAGTCAGGTACTGTGATTCCTCCAGTTTTGTTGTTTTTGCTCAGGATGTCTTTGGCTGTTCTGGATCTTTTGTGGTTCCATATAAATTTGGGGATTTGTTTTTCTGCTACTGTGAAGAATGTCATTGGTGTTTTGATAGGGATTGTATTGATGTCTCTTTCAGAGTTTGTCGTGTAAGAATTATTGTTTCTTTCTGAGACCACATTTGACTCTTGTGCTCACAATGAAACGAACAATAAAATGCCATGGGACAGAGACCAGACAAGGCTTCTCTTGCCATTTAGTCCTTCTTCATTACAGTAGGTGTGAGGTCACCCACACTTTGGCCCTAAGTCTGGAAACAGGTCTCTTCACTGGTCACGACTTCAGGGCTGCAGGTTTGGTGGAGAGTGGCTCCCACTGCGGTGGGAATGAGCAGCTGCAGGCTCTGATGCAAACCTGTGGTTGGCTCCTCCAGTGTCAATAGGAAGGAAGCCCTAGAAGGAGAAAGGTATTCTAATCGCTTCTGTTACCTTAGTCTGTGTAGAAATTAAGAGGACATGGTGCCATTCAAAAATAACTTGTATTTTACTCAGAAAATAAATTTCCCCCTTATCTGTTCATTGGGCTCAGCCGTGAACTTGGAGGCTTATACTTTTGGTCCATCGTACTCGTCAAAGCCTTTAAACCATGACATGCTTGAACTCACCAAACTTTGGAATCCTCTAGGTCTCTACCACAAAGTTCCACTAACAGCTCACTGTTGGAATATGGAAAGAGGTGAAATTTCACAGTAACTATCTTGGCACTTGCTATCTATATTGTCCTTAACTGCCCTCCCTAGTGATGCTGACTCCTTGGAAGAATGAAGCTGGGGAATAGGTGGCATTGGTGAGCTACAGGGAATGTGTAATGCAGCTCTGTGTATCAGGGATGGTAGGTGACTAAATGTGGTTCCATTTTCCTCTTCCTCTGCTCTGAAAAGTTGCTGTTGGGCTTCAGGTAGACATGGTTGATGGAAAACACATGCATTTCTTCACTGTGTCTTCAGAACCTGCTGAAATGACACTCAGATTGGGCTCTTTCTACGTGCTATTGATTGCATACCTTCAGAACTTAAAAGGTAGACATGAGAGAATACTTTGTACTAGATCCATAAAATATCACAGAAGCTAAGTGGTTTGTCAGAAAGAGTCAGTTAAATTCAAATAGTTAGAAGAAACAGGCATCTGGTTAATATCATTTTGCAGAGAGGAGATAAGACTTGTGTCACTCACAAATTGAGTGGTACTAGGCCCAGAAAATCCCAGTTTCGGAATCCTGGGCAGTGGTTTGGATGAAGCACTGTGGGTGCCACCCATGGTTATGGAAGCAAGGGTAACAGGTAAGTAAAGGTAAAATAAATCCAAAGGGAACTTCCAGACCAATCTATTTATTTACCTTTATTTTTCTTGAAAGATAACTTCCATTTATTTACTCTTCATTTTCAAGTAATTCACATACTATCTTTATCCAATTTCTCAAGCTCTTTAGATAATAGAATTCTAGAAATGTAAACAGGAAAAATGTGTATTTTGGGTTGGCTTTACTGAATAATTTAGTATATTTAAATTAAAATGTCTGATCAAGATCCTAGGCAGGCATTGGCCAGTGCTTTTACAACCCACTTGGGTGAGACTACTCGACAGGTCCATCATGTAAGGAGAGACTGACGCATTCGCTACTGTGGAGAGTCCAAGGAGCCCTCACTCACCTCAACAAGGACTATAATTAGGTTGAAGTCCTTTTGGTTTATAGCTTGAACATTAACTCTCTGGAAATAAGACTTCTGATATTACTTAGAACTTAAATAGACTCAAGTCTCCTTTTTTTTTTTGCCTGTTACTCACCCATAATTACTATTTTCATCTCCAGTCTTTCAGCAAACCCGCTTGAATCTCTCCCTCCCTCCGTTTCCCTCCTTTTGCCCCTTTCTTCCTTCCTCAAGTATTTTTATGACATGAGACATATCATATGCTAACTATAGGAATCCTGAGATTCAAAGATGTCCCCTTCCTGTAGGTGGCTTCCATTCTAATGTGGAGATAGATACCCAGACACACAGTTTAATTTAGTATGCCAATTATTTTAATGAAAGCCTGTTTGAAGTGTCGTGGCAATGAAAGAGAAAAAAATCTCCCTGGTCAGTCTAGAAGGGCTTCATGGAGGAGGAGACATTGACTTGAGTCATAAAGCTTGTAGAGGAATTTTCAGAGATAGTTTCAAAGAGAATGAGTCTGGGGATGTTACTGGAAAGGGGTCTCAGTTCAGACCCCAAGAAGAGGGTTCTTGGATCTCATGAAAGGAAGAATTCAGGGTGAGTCCATAGAGTAAAGTGAAAGCAAGTTTATTAGGAAAGTAGAAGAATAAAAGAATGGCTACTTCGTAGACAGAGTAGCCCCGAGGGCTGCTGGTTGCACATTTGTATAGTTATTTCTTGATGATATGCTAGACAAGGGGTGGGTTATTCATGCCTGCCCTTTTTAGACTATATAGGGTAACGTGATGTTGCCATGGCATTTGTAAACTGTCATTGTGCTGGCAGGAGTGTAGACAGGGTGTCCAGAGGTCACTCGTGGCCATCTTGGTTTTGGTAGGATTTGGCTGGCTTCTTTGCTGCAATCTATCAGCAAGGTCTTTATGACCTGTATCTTGTGCTGACCTCCTATCTCATCCTGTTACTTAGAATGCCTTAACCATCTGGGAATGAAGCCCAGTAGGTCTTAGCCTCATTTTACACAGCCCTCTTTCAAGATGGAATTGCTCTGGTTCACAGGCCTCTGCCAGGGACACACCCTGTGGAATATCCCAGAGGCTTGTGAAATACAGCACATCAGGGAACTGTGAATGGTTGAGTGTTGCTGCGGGACAGGGACTGGTAAGGCTAGCAGTGGGGAGGCGATGCATGGGCTGTATTTTCATCATGGAGGGATGGGAAGCCATTGAAGATTGAAGAACACTGAGGGTTGGCTTTCGACCAGCCACAGCCAGAAGAATGTGTGTGTAGAAACAAGAAGTCAGAAATGATTGCCCAAAGAAGAAGAATACAAATTTCAAATACCAGGCAAGGACATTAGCTTGGTTCTCACGTCATCACACCCAGAAGAAGGGCTTGTAGAGAGCTGCTTATGCATATCTGTGATGGAAGCATTCCTCCTCCCCCACAAAGAATGAGATGCTTTTGGGTTCAATTAATACCCGGGGATATGCCAAATGCTTTGTTTCAGATACTCATCTGTTTACAGGCTGTTTCTGTAGAACGTTTACCAATTGTACTGAGTATTAATTGCTGAGGAGAGGGCGTGATGGTCTCTAAACTGGCTGTACTTCCCCGTAATTGGGATGTTGTATTGCTTCATTTGCAGCCGTCAGCGTATCTTCCGTTTCCTTTTCTTTCAACCTTGGTTGACAAGTCATTTGCAGACCCTGAGAACTCTTTTTTTTTTTTTTTTTTTTTTTGAGACGGAGTTTCACTCATGTTACCCAGGCTGGAGTGCAATGGCGCGATCTCGGCTCACCACAACCTCCGCCTCCTGGGTTCAGGCAATTCTCCTGCCTCAGCCCCCAGAGTAGCTGGGATTACAGGCACGCGCCACCATGCCCAGCTAATGTTTTTGTATTTTTAG